GTCCCTAAAGGAATGCATAGTAAATAATAATGTCAATAAAACACTTAAGACTTTATTAATTACCTTATGTTACAAATAGTAATGTGTGACATTACTGACTATTTGGGGCTTACATTTTTCTAAGTGGTTATTTTAATTGAACTCCAGTGCTAAAACATGTGTTACTCTGTTTCTGGGGTTATACACTCACTGGGAATCTGAAGACCAGGTGGTTTAACTCAAGATCTGTACAGGTAGATTAAATTCCCACCCAGCCTGTCCCAAGTCTCAGATTAATTTTGAATTAGGTAAGAAATAATAAACAAACTCAGTGTTACCTTGCCTTCTTAATCATATTCTACCCAGACTGATTGGATTAATCACACCATCTCTTTGGTCTCTATAAGGATGAAATGTGTATTTATATTCTCAACCAAAATATTTCCAGCCTCTCTCCTCAATCTACTCAGCCCTGGGTCCACATTCCATGCCTCTGTTCCAGCGTTCCCTCCTGGAACTTTGACTCAGCTACCATATGGAAGGCCCTGTGTTGCCTGCCTGCACTTTTCTAGATTCTCAAGTCTCCAGGGCTTGCCCACTAGAGAAAAGAATTCTTAGATACTAACTGCCTGACTGACCAAACTACCCCTCTGTCCAGATTTCCAGAATAACGTTTTGACCATTGAGGACTGTATCTAAGGCTCTCTGAGGCAAGGCCTTCAACACAACAGTGGATTTGGCTGAACACTGCTGCTCACGAGCCTGGTCCCCAGTATCAGTCCCATCTTTGAAGATGGTTCTAGTGTCAGGTCCTGATCCTTCCTTTCTGTCATGAACCAAGATAAACAAATGTCCTTCTCTGCCCCCTACATTTTTAATTAGCGTCCTTATGGGGATGACTTTTGAAGTATTTGGTTTAGTTGCTGAACATATCAAGTCTCCCTCCCCTCCCTCACCTGCTCTTGTCTCTTTCTCTCCATCACCGCCCCAGCAATGCAAAACAACTATAGAAACCTTTCTCGAGGTGCTCTAGAATTTCCGAGAAAAGTAAAAATCTGCTTTAAAAAAGGTCACATTTCATATTCTTCTTAAATTCCCTGTTTATATGTCCTGAAACATAGTTAACCAACTCTTTCTTGGCTTGCAGTCCGTGATAATGCCCCTCAAGTGCCTCTATATCTCTATTCTCAGAGGTTGCAAAGTGAAAACCACCCTGTTCTCTAACAGAGTTTCTACACTCAAGAATCTGGTAGAAATAAGGCAACTGATCCTCACTGGTCCTATATTTCCCTCTAACAGAGCACAGAGAAGATATTTAAAGTGATTCCCCAAACAGTCCTGAATATCCTCTAGTTTCATAAAGATAATTACAAGGATTTATGAACTATATAATGTCCCTCTATTTGGGCTTAAATAAATGGCACCAAATTCTCTTACTCTTGACAAGGTAGAAGTGGGCATATATCATGCAAGAAAAGGACCAGCATTTTAAAATCTTGTAGGAGCTACATACTTTTTTTTTTAAACGTTGTATTTTTTTTTTAATGTTGTACAATACTTCTGCAGTTTCTTGGCCAGCTAGTCTTTTTTACTAAATATATGTATCTTTCCAAATATCAAAATGTAGTTGAGCCTTGCATGTAAAATTCTTTATAGTAACAACAGCAATAATAAGAAGAAAAATTTATATGATCCTTACTGATGGTAGTACTGTACTGAGCACATTATGTACATTAATGCTTTATATTCTCAGAAAAACACTGTGAAGGAAGTATCCATGCTCTCCATTCTTAGTTAAGAGAACTGAGTTGCAGAAAGTTTAAAAAACTTGATCAAGGCCAGCCAGTAAGTGGAAGAGCAGAAATTTCAACCTACCCCATTTTTCATACCTGTGAAGATGCACTCAACTGAATAAATTGCATTTGTATTATAATGTTTTTGTTCTCTTGATGAATACTGAACCAGAGTTAGAATGCCTTCCAACTTTTTTGTGAAAAAGGATTGACACTAGATGTGGCCTTTGCACTCTGGGGCCCATTCTTTTGTTACTCTGAACATTATTTGAATAAGAAGTTGCTAATAATTTGAGCAGTTGTAACTTTAAAACTCTTTATGCACTATTACACAGATCACCATTAACCTTGACATTCAATTTTTAAATTCCCCAACTTCATGGCTACATGAATAATTTTCTCTCTTAGAGTTATGACAGCATTCCTAAGCTCTTCTCTTTTCATCTAAGTACGTTGGCACTTTTGGAAACAGGTGATAAGACAGCTTGTAGTATGATGAATAGATTAGTACACATAGCATTTCTCTCCTCTCCTTCTCATTTTTCCTGAAGACATCACATTCTCTTGCACTTTCTTCTTTATCCTTCTCCACTTGCCTCTATTTTCTTTCAATGTAACATATTTTTTTCTCTCCTCTCATCTTTGAATTTTCTCTCCTCTATAATATCATGTGAGTTACTTGAAGGCTTCTTGAGCCTGGATATCCTGGATGACTTCTACTCATGGAAATTCTGATTATTCAGTATATGTGCTGCCGAAGCGAGCACGGAAATTCTGATTATTCAATATTTCCATTTGCTTAGATTATAGAACACACCAGAGTTTATGTTGCAAAATATTCCTGGCAGTCTTGGCAGAAAATATATCTTTGAAATTATAGCTTTGCCATGCATTCATAAAGAAAGGTCATTTTACTTTAAATGCATGTTCACATGCAATAACAAAGGCATTATGTCTAAGTGTATTGCAGAAAGCATAGTTGACCACTGCTTCTAGCATCTTTAGGATCTGTCTCTTCCTAGTTGTGACTTCTATAATACATTTTATAGAGTAATAAATTATCCTTGCCCTGGGGTCAGGATTCTGACCTACTCACTGCAACATGTCTAGATGTGATACATGTTTACCCTTGTATGACCAATGATCCCAATCTAAATGTTAAATACCTGCTGTTCTTTGCATTACGTGATCCCTTTTCCTAAATCTTCTGGATCTATCAAATCCTTCCCCTAAAATTCACATCTTACGTTGTTACTATCCATTCCCCAGGATGACAATATTGAAATGAGGGAGAAAAAAGAGTTCTAGCCATTTTAGTGCCCTAAATCTTACCTTTTTATCCTTCAAAGAAATTTTTCATAAAAAGTCAAATTTTAAAAACTCACTGATGCTATTCATTAATATGTTGTTATAGATTCTAAACAGCTGTCTCTTTTATAGGCAACATAATCACAAATGAATTACAAATGCAGACTTTACTATTGCAATTAAACTCTGGGTCACCATCTATTAAAAACAGATTACACATATTACAATATATATAAGAAAAAATAAAGACACCATATGATTTGAATGATCAAAATAAACGAGAAGCAGCAATTTCAAATAATTTGTCTAAAATTTTTATCAACATAACCTAAAGTATTTTCTTGAAAATTATCCACGAGAAAATGTTTACACTTACCTTCCACATATATACACATTGTACTCTCTCTTACTTATTTCATTACCTCATTCTGTCCCAAGAACATCTTTGAAAGTACTTCCCAAGAGTGGGAGACTAAAGGTGATTCTTTTATCCATAAAAATATTAGGATTTTATTTTGTAAGAATCAAATCAGGTGACTAAAAATTCTAAGCAAAGTGAAAAGTCAACATCAGTATAAAACTGCTTAAGAGAACAGATTTTAAGAAAATGTCACCAAGGACTATTACACCCCAGTTTCCACACTTGAGAGACTCATTATCACTCATTTTCTCCAAAATTTTTGAATGTATAAGGATTGGACTACTATGGAAAGTAGTTTCTTGAATATTATGTTTATAAAGTTTAATTCTCCCTAATCCTCACTCCTATCTGTCAGCTGTCACTTCCCCAGTGAAGGATGAAGGGATAAGAATTATGTCAGTTTGAATTTTGCATCTTGACATGGGCAGGTGCACAATAAAACAAAAGGAAGCTGAAACAAAGCAAAACTATGCTCAAGAAAGAATACTTTCGTACAGAGAAAGACATGAGAAAGCAAGCAAAGAGAGTATTTCAAATAGAATGTTAAAAACCCATTCAAGCAAAGTAATTTGAAGTTGTTGTGTTAAAAAATATATCATTTAGCAGAGAGGTATTCTAAGAATTTGAGATATTGAGGAGAAGATAACATTGTTGATGGTAACATTTGAAGAGGGACAAAAGGACATTCCCATTAGGAATATAGAAGACACATGGGGAACAACAACCCTTTGTCTTGTCTCCACACAGAAAAGGGAAAGGCAAAGATATAAGAAAGAGATGGGTGAGAAAATATTGAATGGATTGAAAGAGTTTAAAAAAAAAAGTGATAAAGTGATGCTTCTGAGAAGATTCCTAAACTCTGCCTAGATTTATAATATGGAGGTTTATCTTACCGTGGCTGTGAATTTAGAATAAACTTGAAATACTCTGCATTGGACTACCTATTTTTTCTCATCTAATCTGTGTGAGGTTTCACAAAGTCACCAATGGCCTGGTGAAAGCTCCCTCTGGAAAATGTTTGCAGTGCCGCATTAACTAATGACAGGCATCTTACCAAGGAAAGAGAGGCAAAGCAATTTATTCTCTATTATGATTTCTGCTACTTAGTTTGTATCAGGAGAGGCTGGGAATTAAACATAAAAAAAGGAGATACTGGAAATGTTAACAATTTAACAAAAACAAATGGTTGTGTTTCATGGATGGCTAAGGCTTTTTGTACTAAATAAATCATCATCTCTCATGGAAAACCCTGAAAAAGGAGCACACTCCCTCTGTCACTGTATCTCTGTCAAATAAATAAATAAATCTTTAAAAAAAAATACATGTATGGGTGGAAGGAAATAACTATTAGAGGGGAAGGTAATAACTTTGTAACTTGGGAATTGCATGTAGTCCTTCGTGTGTGCTTTTGGTTTCTAGCTCTCTTGCAGTTCTCCACACTGAGCACCCAGTTACTCTGATTTGTCTGTGGAAGGAAAGTCAATGAGCCTATGCCTTACCGCCTCCACTTCGGCAGGGTCATACCAAACGTTGATGTAAGGATGCTGTAAGGCGTCATCCACCGATATTCTTTTTGCTGGGTCGATCACTAGCATCTTTGACAGTAAGTCCCTGGCTTGGCTGGCTGAAAGGATGAGTGAGAGAAACAATTAGTAAAATTTTGGCTTTGGCAGGAAAATTTGTTGAAGGGAGGAGGAAATTAAGAAAACAAAGATAAGCTAGCACCTTCTTTTCAAACATCAAGCAACTTTACCAAGTGACTAGGGAAATGCAAAATGAAACAGGGAAATAATTTTTATTCATCAGATTGAAAAAATAAAAGATGGCATGATATTTACTAACACTGGGTAAGTTCATTCATGTTGTACATTATACATTGATAAATATTTTTATGAGGCAAATTTGGACTATCCATTAAAAATTTTACATGTGAATACCTTATGACCCATCAGTTCCACTTTTAGGTATATAGACTAGAGAAACAATTGTACATGTTCATGAAAAAAAATACAGAAAGGATGTTCACTGCAGCATTGGTTATGGAATAAGAAAATAACTTTAAACAGTCAAATTTCCATCTAAAGAGCAAAAAAAATGAACTATGGTACAAATGTACCATGGAATTGTAGTTAGCAGTTTAAAAGAACGAGGTAGATTTATATGAACATGAACATGTTATTAAGCAAAAAAATGAAGTTGCAAGAATAATCCACAGATCATGTTACCATTTGTGTACATCTGCCCCTTCCCAATAAAATTTCCCTCTCTTCCTATTAATGTATATAAATGTGTAGAAAAGGTCCGCATGAATAATCAAGAAACTGAAAATAATAGTTACCTCTGAGGAGGGGAGAATATACATCTCTCATGTAATTAAAAATAAATGGGAAAGAATGAAGTTCTTTAAAAGGAAGCAGATAAAGTGGATATAGTTTGCTCTTTTTAAAAGCTTTTCTGAGAAGGAAAAAAATGGATAAAGTATTGACTAGAGGGAGACAAGGAGGTCAGGAGTGACTTTTTTGAGGATGGGAGAGATGATGAAGTTTTTAACAGGGGGAGAAGCTGCAAGGATAGACAGGAGGGGACAGATCTGAGAGTAAGAATCCACACATCTCAGCAACCATATTAATATGCTGATCTAGTTCAGTTTTTAAAATACTAAATGTCTACTCTGTGTCAGCTCCAGTGTGAGGTGTCAGAGAGGCCAAAAAATAAATAAACAAGTGGTGATAATCAGTAAGTAAGTATATTGGTAAGTGCAATCAGTAAGTAAGTATAATTAATAATAATAAGTAAGTATAATTATTTAATGACAGTGCAAAAAGACACTTAGTTTTCAATCTCTAAAGACATAAAATTTTACAGAAAATACAGTTCCAATATGACTTGAAAATTTTATGGGGAAAATATTCTATTTGTTCCATGACTCCCTCTAATGGCCCAACAGGGGTATATTTATTCATTTCATTGATTCAAAAATCTCTTTGATTTGTAACTTTATTTTTTTGATTTTGTAACTTTGATTTGTAATTTTATTTTTTTGTAACTGATTTTATAACCAGACACACACCCCCACCTCCCACAGATTCTCCAATCAAACCCTCCATGTTTCTGCTCTTAGAATGGGTGAGGGTTGGAATGGGCTCCTCATCAGTAGGGGCATGAACTACAGTAATACCAAAGAATCTCTCAGAAACAATGACCAATACTATTTGAAGGGAACAAAATGAGGAGAAAGAAAATGTTTCAATTTCTCCTCTCTCATTCTTTTATTTGCAAATGTTCTATGCTCTTTTTAAATAACAATAGAAAGAATTCTTCTCTCTGATTATTTGTATAATTCCTTATAATTTACCAATTTTTATATTAAAATCCCCTTAAATAATTATAAATATATAAACTAGCATATAATTTATAAAAATAATATAATCATAGAGATTAAAAATAGATTGAAAACAAAAAAACTCAAGAAAGTCGGAATTATATTATGAAGCGTGGTATTTTATTTAGTAGTTTTTCTACAAGTGCTGTCATTATCTCAAATAATTTGATCAGGGCTTTTATCATCCCCACATTGTTATACTACAAGTGTCTTCATATAAAGGGATTACCTTTGCCTGACATGTCAATTAGCATCATAAAGACTTAAATTCTTCAAATATCTGTTTAGAATATTAGCTCTTCTTCAATCTGTGTATAGGCAGTGTTGATCTTAAGAGCAGCAAATTTAGTAATCGTTTAGTCTGTTGCCATTGACTGTGCAGCCAACTGAAGGAAGAAACCCAACCATGCAATAAACCTGTCACGAACACAGGAATGATGCTGCACACTTAAAACCCATGAGATAAATGTCTAGGGATGATAAGACTCGGGAGATAGCACCACATTTTAGTTCCTCTGTCTCATTTAAGTCTGTATTAGCTATGAATTTTGTCTGTAAGTTAAGTCTGTGTTAATTAATTACCCACTGAACATTTGGGGTCAACTTTCAAAAGCATGTATCCAAAAAAAAAAAAAAAGCATGTATCCTTTTTCTTTTTTGATAGATACAGTTACATTTTAAATAATTATTACGTTTTTTTTAAATGTCTAACAGCTATTGAGTATTTACTGTGAGGCAGGCATTGTTCTAAGCCCTTGACAAAATATTTACTCAGTTAATCCTCCCAATGATCCTAAGGTAGACACTTTCTACTTTCATTTGTTAAAGGAAGTGTAGATAGTTTAGATAACTCATCCAGGTCCACACAGATTTTCAGGGACAGTGTTTGAGCCCAGGCAAGGAAAAAAATCAAATTTGTTTCAAAATCAGTTCTCTAAATGTTCTAAATAAAAATAAGAAATAGAATATTATTTATAGTATATATTTAAACATTGCCAAATTTATCCCTTGTCTCTAATCCTATGACTAAGGCATTATTATCCAAGTTTTGTGGGTGAAGAAACTAAGATTTGTTACTGAAGTTCTTAACTACAGACATAGTAGTAGTAAGAACTACTTATTAATGAAAGTATTTCTACTGAATATAAAATGTGTAAGTAAATCTCATTTGTCACTCTGAAAAAATAGTGGTTGGACATTCTATAAAATACAAATCAAAAACTCAAACACCAGCATCTCCAAGATTTCACAACCAAAAACTGTGTTGAAAATATTCCCCAGGTAATAAAAAGAATTGGAACTATGACTTCAATGTGTATCACATTAGTCTTTTAGAGTTACACTGCAAAAGAATTTTGAGATTCCAAATAAGCTTCATGACATAGTTTACCCATACCACTGTCACATCATTTATTACTATCTTTTCCTCTGAATATCCACACAATTCTAAAATCTTTGATCGCATGCTCTTAGTAAACATAATAATAATAATAATAATTCTAAAAATCTTAAAAAAATACTCCTTAAATTGAGGTAGTTCAAGTTAAAGAGAGGTGTCTCTATCATTTGTCCCTACCATTGTTTAGGCCATTGCCCTCATGGTAGTTCTGAAATTTTCCCTGATGGGCATACCTTTGAGTTTATTGTGCTCAGAGTCCGCTGGGAAGAGGGAATCTGGAAAGAGCTTGGGGAAGGTGAGTCCTGCATACTTGGGCCGATTCTCCACATAGTTTCTTACTGTAGGTTGCAATTTCTTCATGAATTCTGGACATGGTGTTCCTAGTTGCTCAATTACCTTGTTCCACTGGTCAATATCTGAGAATTGAATGGTTAAGGGCAAAAAAAAGTGCAAACCTACTAGGTCTTGCTTTTCACTAGTTGGGAGACTAACTGCTTCTCCAAATCCTGAGCAATCACCAATATAACTGGAGTTTAATAAGCAGGAAGGATTAGAATATATAACCAGAATTGTCAGACAATGACTCTTCCTGGAATTTTAAATTCACCTGTGGCATAAATACACTTTTGGGGAACTAGCATTACTGAACAAAATAGGATATCATGAAATAGTCCTTGAGTTGTAAAGATGAAAAGGTATTTAAATGACAGAAGAAGAATTTCTTATATTGAGAAAGGCTTCTATATAACCATGTGATTTAAATGAGAAAAAATATGGCACAAAATATTTTTATCATGAAATTACCCCAATCATTTGTTTACTAAAAATGACCAATACATAAATATTTTATAAGATTCATTTACATTTTTAAAAATTCCTTTTTAAGATTTTTCTCTTCCTTTCTCTAGGAAATTTCATCATCTCTTCGTCTTACTAATGCATCACATATGGGATCAGTATAATTTTTGAAAATAAAATAACTCATTATTCTTCTCCAAGGACTTTTAAAAATGTCTAGTTCTCAAAGTAATTATGATTTTTATACCTATTTTTGTTACTTCTGATAGTAATCCCCTGCATTCCAGAATATTCCTTTCAATGAGGTATCAGGATAAATACAGGATGTTCAACTTAAGACAACAGATTTCCATCCAAGTGTTTGTATTACTAAAGTATAGTAAGCATGGGGAATTCTACAGGAAAATATTACTTCTCTATGAAAATTAATACTCCCCAAATTGAGATATACTCACTGATCGAGATTTTCTTTTCCATTTATCATTAATGTTTGATATATCAGAGCCTTGTGAATGATAAATACCACTCATGAAAACTCTAAAGAACCAACTGGAAGAAGTTAATTTCAAACAGATTTCCTTGCTGTGTGTCAATGAATGATAGAACTTAGAAATTATTCTTAAATACAATAACACAAGCAGTGCTCTCTCTTACATTGTTTATTTTTCTACAACTTTATCCTTTAGTGTTAATTAATTCATTTTTGCTACTGTAATTTGTAACAGTTCAGGGATCTAACTATAAAATTACTCAGTTGAGATTTGTAAAATCTTTACCCCTAGCTATTTAGTAGTGTTGGACTAAAAAAGATCAGCAGTCCTGACAAAAGACAAAACCAATGAATTTGACAAAAATAAATATATATTGCAAAGTAGATAAAAGACTGAGCAAAGATAACATCAAGTGAATTTGCAAATCCTCTTCTATCTCCCTTATAATCTAGCTGAATAAAATTTAAATTATTATACAGCCTCTTAACTATTAGGTTAAAAATATATGATTGTGTAATATTAAAAAATGGAGGGGGGTGGGAAAAACTTAAGAATATTCCCTTATAAAACAGTAGGAATAATTAAATTAGAACACATTTCAATAAAAGTTCATCTAAGTTACAATGTGCATGAGAATATAGTAGTAAGTCAGACTCATTAGGAACAAATAAACTGAAAGATAACAAAGGTTAGAATTAAAGGTTATTCTTAGACAAAAACTTATGTTAGTACTATATACACAGGTAAACTATAACTATTTAGCGATATTTAAATCGAAAACACTAATTAAGGTTCAATAAATCTCCATGCTTACACTGTAAATTATGAAAAGAAGTCTACTCTCTAATACAGTTAGGTTATCATGCCCCACCAAGCCATCATTTAATCATTGGTCATACTTCCTTCAAATTCTGAAGACCTGATGTCAAACTAAAAATAAAGGCAAAGAAGCTATCAGATTTTCCATAAAGGAGTTATTTAGCAAAGTTGGAAAATACTTGCTACACACTAATATTCTAGGTATATTTAGCTAGAATTACAAAGTTATTCAGTAAAATATTATTTGTAGAATAGCATTCCCAAGACAATTCCATAGTATTTTTATCATAAAGTTTAAGTAGAGTCAAATATTCTGGAAGTTGTTAAACAAGAAGTGTCAAATGTTTCTTTTTACAAATTAGAATTAAAGTCTATAGACGCATTCAGTATGTTTCCTACCTTAGATTGCTTTTTAAATGAAACACCACTGCAGTGCTAGATATAATAGTTTACAAAAAGGAGGAAAACAAGAATCTTTCATTATTGTCAATGTAGTAGTCGAATGTTCTAAAGGTAAATATGTGGTATAACCATCTTTAAAAGTGTGTGCCTTTATTTGAACCAATCCATTTCAAGTTCTTTGCTCCTATAAACATGAATAGTTTTATTAAGTAGTAAGTGTTTGTTTTCTGGATGTTCACAGGATCCCAACATGAACAACTTTGTTCAACTATTCTTAGTTAACCACATGATATTTCTCTATAATCATAATTAACCAAATATAAGCCACAATTGGGAGTCATATCTCTCTGCTGAAAGTCCAGCATTTGTTCCAAGGATTCCAGTAAGGAAAAGAGCAAGTTTGGAACTGATGTGGTAGAAATTGCTTTTCTTTGGCATAAAATTGATAGTATGCTTGTCATGAGCCCTAAAGAGTATCTCTTAAACTGTATCCCTAGTTTATCAGGTCAACATATTCACACATAAAATAATTAATTTTATTAATATTTTAAATAGACAATAAAGTGGTGTGTTTTAGAAAAATTTTTAAATTATCAGATTTCCATAGCAATCATATTTTCAAAAAAATACATCAAGTTTTAACTAGATTTTTATGGTCATGTGTTGAAAACATGATAAATATTATTTCACAGAATGGCTAAAATCATTTTTATAAAAGGATTTGTTTGCTTTACAATACTCATAAGTCATTTTTATGCTGAGTAAGGATCTGAATATTTATAGATTTTAGTCTATGCAGTTATCAAAAAGTAATAAATATAAATATTTTATTATAATATATAAAATAAATATTTTATATTTTTGATCTACTATTTTAAAAAATCACACTTAACATAATTATAAGGCATTTAATAAAAATAGAAAAATGTCATCTAATAGGAATTGACAATTTCCTCATCTAATTGTAAATTCACTACATAAAAAATAGCCATATTACCAAAAGTTTGATTTTATAGAGTATGATGACAAGATAATGTGCAAATAGTGACTATTTCTAACATATTCAACAAATAATATTATAAGGTATGAATAAAACAAAGAAGTATGTATTGTAAAAGTATGTATCTGAAATTCTAAGTTTGAAAATTATTCCAGTTAATTTTATCAATTAGCTAAGAGCTTACATTTCATGTACTCCTTGTATTTTAACTTTCTTGGTTGTGCAACTTTCTAAAACATCACAAACTGCCTTGAACACAATGTACAAAAGATGCTTTATCCTTCTCTGGGTATTCTGGATCAGAATTATGAACATAATTTATTCTATGCACATTTAAGCTTCCAGAAACTACTAAGTGGAATCATAAAGCACATTCTATTATGTTCTGTGAATAACTGTATCTTCTTTTTATGTTTTTTCTCATCATTGGTTACTTTTTTGTTATTATGAATGTGTTTTCCAGAGTTGACACCTCCATGAATCCAGACTTGGTTTTACTGTGTCTCAGAGTAAATATTTTGTAAAAAAACAAAAAAACAAAACAAAAAAACCCCTCACATCTATTTGAGATTTAAAGAGTATCAGCGTTTGTCTCCAAATTCTCAACTACATTTTTTAAAAAAGATAATTTTGCCTCAAAAGAGACTTGTCTGTCTAGAAAGTTCCAGGAGAGACTATAGTATTTTGCAAGCCAACTAGCTGACTTGGTACTGTGTTGTGCCATTTGTTAGGTGTCATGATATAAAATCATGGCTCCCAAACTTGAATATTCATAACATAAAGAACTTACTAAATATAGATTGCTCCCCTCTCCCCACTAATCAACAAGATTCTGAGTCCATAAGTCTAGCATGATATTAAAAAATATCAATAGTAATTGTAATCCAGATAGCCCAGGACTATATTTTGAGAAATACTAACATAGAATATACTAAAAGTCTCTTGTGAATTACTAAATCCAGAATTAAGAAAATAGTACTGGGGTGCCTGGGTGGCTCAGTGGGTTAAAGCCTCTACCTTCAGCTCTGGTCATGATCCCAGGGTCCTGGGATCAAGCCCTACATTGGGCTCTCCGCTCAGCAGGGAGCCTGCTCCCCCCATCCCCCGCCTGCCTCTCTGCCTACTTGTGATCTCGGTCTGTCAAATAAATAAATAAAATCTTAAAAAAAAAAAGAAAAGAAAAAGAAAATAGTATTAACATATTTCAGGTCTATTACACAAATTAGAATAGGGTCAATTTCATCAGAAGATTAATCCACACCTACTTGCTATGGAAAACTTAAGGGTCATTCATCTGAAAATACTTCAGTGAAAAAAAAAAATACTGATATTTATCCCTCTTGCTCATGTCACTTTCCTGAAAAATGATGGCAAATTATAGTAAGTGACACACAGTCTCCCAGCAAAGGGTGAATGGTTCTGCTCATCATCATCTAGGGAAGGATGAAAATTATATGTTGCTATCACCTGTGGGTACTACTTATAAAACATATAAAAGCTACTCAATATAATGTTCAAAATATTTGACAGTTTATTTCAGTAATTATTCTATATTTCTTTAAGATAAAATTTGCTCTCAAAAGAACTCTTACTTCTGAAGACAATTTTAAAGATGAGGGTAGAAATTTATATATGACAGAGTTCTGGATCCAGATTTTTATAGTTATGTCTTGAGCTGTTCTGTTACTTTAAAATTCTTTTTACTCTTTTTATTTGAAAATCTTTATTTTCTCTCAAAAGCTACCCCCCAAACTCTGGTAACTGAAATATGAATAAGCATCTTAGAGCATAATAGTAACTAACATTTATTTTTATTATAAATGAGCACAGGAAGAAGAAATATTATGAGCCAAACACATTAAAAAAACTGAAAGCTGACAATTTGAGTAAAGGCTATTTGGTCACT